TTAATAAAAAATATTATTACTAAAAACAAATGAAGTAAAGGAAAAAAAAAAGGTTAAACCCCCATTTTGGTCCCTCAACTATCGTACGGACCCCTGACTTAGTCTCTCAACTCAAAAAATCCCTGATTTGGTCCCTACTGTTTACCTTTTTGACCCGATTTAGTCCCTCTGTTAAAAATCCGTTAAAAATCTAGTGACGTGTCCTTGATTAACAAAAGCACGATGACATGTCAACAAATAAAGTGACACCTCAAACGCACACCTAGAAAAAAATGACATGGCAATATGACTCATTCTGGCTCAAAACCAAACAAGTAAAAAGAGTGGGTCCCACCTCCTGCAAAACTTGAACCCTTCTCCCCCTTTCTTCCCTAAACCCATTTGAACCTAGAACAACAGTGCTCTCCAGTTCCTCAGCAAGCCTTGCCTTCTTCATCATCATCAACCAACCAACCAAATCCACAAAAAAAAAAAGAGAATTTTTTTTTTTAATTTTTTCCCTTGGGTTCATATGAAACCCAAAGCCGAACCTAGGCTCTGGGTTTCGAACGAACCCAGAGCCTTGCCTGGGTTTCGATCGAACCCAGAGCCTTGCCTGGGTTTTGATCAAACCCAGAGCTTGGGTTCGATTGAACCCAAGACGCCTGGGAAACCCAAGCTGCCTAGGTTCGTTCGAAACCCAAGCTGCCTGGGTTCGATCGAACCCAGTGCTTAGGTTCCATCGAGACCCAAGCCCTGGCTTCCAAGACGCCTGGATTCGAAGGAACCCAGTAGGCGTTGGGTTGCAAGGGGAAAAGAAAGGGAAAGAGAAGGAAAAGGAAAATGAAAATTTTTTTTAAGTTTTTTATATTTTTTTTTCCATGTCATTGTTTTTTTTTTTTTGTCGTGTTGTCTTTTTTTTCAGGTATGCATATGATGTGTCAAGTTATTTGGACACATCATCATTCTCCAGTTAATTAACGGGACATGTCACTGGATTTTTAACGAAGGGACTAAATTGGGGTCAAAATGGTAAACAGTAAGGACCAAATCAGGGATTTTTTGAGTTGAGGGACTAAGTCGGGGGTCCGTACGATAGTTGA